ATATATATATATATATATATATATATATATATATATATATATTAGCATTTAGTTTGAAATTGGTGCTTAATTTAGAAACCATTTCCACAAGCGTCACCTCGTTCTGCTTCTCAAACTTAAAGTGCAGAAAAATCACCTGGAGTGTCTTTTTAAAATACAAATTCTGATTCAGTAGGTCTGGGATGGGGCCCAAGATTCTGCATTTCTAACAAGCTCCCAGGTAAAGCGGATGTGTGTGATCCATGCACCTTTGGTGGCAAAACCTTACAGCACTGCACCACTTGCGATCGGGTAGAGGAGCTGTCATCCTCTGCCCTCATTAACCAGAAGGGGAAACTGAGGTCCAGAGAAGCCGGGCCCCTGGCAGGCAGCACAAGGCGGGTGCGCTGTCTGTCCCCCTCGCACCTGGTTACATGCTCCAGGGGCATTTTTGGCGCCGCCAGCTCTGTTGATGTCGCGCTCTCCTCTCTCTAGGGATCCTCACTCTCGACCCTCAGACCGCCAGCCCAAGTCTGGTGCTGTCGGAGGACAGGAAGTCGGTGAGGCACACCCGGCAGAAGCAGAACCTGCCCGACAGCCCCCAGCGCTTCGAGGGCTTCCCGGCGGTGCTGGGCTCTCCCGGCTTCTCCTCCGGACGCCACCGCTGGCAGGTGGAGGTGCAGCTGGGAGACGGCGGCGGCTGCATGGTAGGGGTGGCGGAGGAGGGGGTGGGGAGGACGGAGAAGGGCCTGAGCGCCGACCAGGGCGTCTGGGCCGTGGGCATCTCGCACCAGCGTTGCTGGGCCAGCACCTCCCCGGGCACCAACCTGCCGCTGGACGACATCCCGCGCAGCGTGGCCGTCGCCCTGGACTACGAGGAGGGGCGGGTGACCCTGCTCAACGCTGAGACGCAGGCGCCCATCTTCACCTTCACCGCCTCCTTCTCCGGCAAAGTCCTTCCTTTCTTCGCCGTCAGGAGAAAAGGTTCCAGCCTTACTTTGAAGGGCTGAGCGGGAGCGTCCGAAGGGCAGGGCGGAGCGGTGAAAGCAGCGCCCTGGTATCCAGCTTCGCCCCCGCTAGCCGTGCGACA